CCCCCCAATCCCCCATTACTAGAAATGGTAGATATGCAATTGTGAGAGTTCCTCCCTATACCAGCAGTATTTCTACGATTCATGCAAATGTGTTCTTGTTCTTCAGATGCCCGTTTCAAAGCTCCTAGAATAACACTTCTTTTTTCTTCTCATTGTTATACTCTCTTTGTGTGTTGTTATAAATATCCTGGCATTAATTCATGACGTAGCAAGTAGTGTTTTCTGTGTTTCAAGGGGTAGAGTAACTATGCATTCTGGGTGTCGCTGTTTCATGCGTCTTCTTTGTCACCGTTTATCTCGACCAACTATTTACTATCCCTCGTTCATGTAATGATGAGTTGATAATCACAGCTGTTTATAAAATATCTATGCCCATATTCTGCTTACAATGTTATTTATATAAATGTGTAAGTGAAGATATTTCAGTTTTTAGTTTTAGTATATATAACAAACACTTCTTTGTGCAAGTTCAATAGTGTTAATAATTTGCCTGTTTGTGTTCGTTTTCATGTCTCACACCATTGTTTAATACCTCAGCAAATGCAGTAAGATTTGGGTGCATTGTACTTTCATTCAAGGGCCCAACCAATGTAAATGAGAGGGGGGATGTGTGGTGTGGCTGGAGGGTGCTACCGGTGGTCGATTCTACTTTTGTAATGATATCAGTCACTGATACTAAAAGCCTTTATTGTGTTGGTATTTTGATATCCTCTAATTTAACAACCACAAAATTGAAAATTGTTCAGTGTGTACCGGCGTGATGAAGCTACATGTAATTTTATTTTTTGATTCTTATAGGACGCGGATGTCTCTACTTATATTGACTTTGTATGCTCTTTGAATAGGGATAGAAAATATAAAGCTCTTGGATCTCTACTAAGTACATGAAAGGCATCTTGGCTTTTGAAATTTTGGTGTGGTTTGCTTAATCTTTCCTGTCAAACCTCTATCGTCTTTATCTCCCCTCCTTCTTTTTTGTGTTTGTTACTCTCTTGTAACACCTCTAATCTTCGGCACTTATATGACCTTATTGTGTTGCAAGTTCTGTAAAATACTTAGATCTACTAAAACTATATTGACTTTGTTTGCTCTTTGAATGGGGATTGAAAATATAAAGCTCTTGGATCTCTACTAAGTACATTAAAGGCATCTTGGCTTTTAAAATTTGAAAAAGAGCATGCTAGGCCTGCATGGCTATTATTTTAAAATTCGGAAGAAATTCTTCTCAAGTTGTGTATTGTTGAGAACATGTAAGGGAACAGCATGGATATGAAAGGAAGTGAAAGAGACACAATACTGTGGTGGCAAAACAGGTCAGAGGTACACTTGTGTATCTCATAGGTTGCTTGATGTACCCTCAGTACTGGTTACTATTTCTTTTTTTTCTTTTTTGTAAGAGTTTTATGGCACTTGCAACACAATAAGGTCGTATAAGTACCGAAGATTAGAGGTGTACATAACAAACACGAAAAAGAAGGAGAGGAGATAAAGATGATAGATGTTTGATAGGAAAGAAGGAGCAAACCAAACCACACCACAGCACCCGCCAACCACCCACACTATTCTTCTGGTGTTCCTCTCTGCTTGAATTGGTCTCGTTAGCAACAGCAGAAGCCACATATATCATCTTGATTCTTATTTCTTCCATTCCCCTTTTTAAGAATTATTCCCCTCTGCAGCTGCATTGGTCATCATCAGACTTTGATAGAGGAACTGTTATTATTATTATTATTATTATTATTATTATCATTATTATTATTATTATTATTATTGTTGTTATTATTATTATTGTTATTATTATTAAATGTATTATTTATTCTTGTGAGGCATCTCCCAAAGTATG